AGCGGTAAGCGCTGTCAAATCGTAAGTAGCTATTTTCCTCTAGGACACGATGTTAGTTTTAACCGGGGAACCTAACCTAATTTATATATATGTTTGTGAAGTATTCGTATTAAAAACTTACCAATCATGAATTTTTAATAACATGTATAATATGTCTATTCATGTCATTATTTACTTAAAACTAATATTGCAAAAAAAAAAAAACAAATTATAAACTCTACTTCAAAACAAACAAATTAAATAAGCAAAATGGCGGATTGTGTCAGCGCTACTAAGTAGCAATCGTGTCCTGGCCGAAAACTATTTTAGCGCTAGTAAGCGCTTGCTAGCGCTTTTTTCTGCCAAACGCACCCGATGCTTATAGTTCGGTGTCTCAAAGGTAAAGAATTTAAAATCGGTTCAACTTAAGCGGTTGTAACAGCTCCCTCTATGTTATATCCCGCTGTAAACTTTAGGTATTTTCAGAAACCCTATTCCGATCTCTGATCGTGATAGAACTCTTTATTGCATTTTAACAAAGTTATTAAAATAACGGAAAATTTATGAACTACAAACCGTCGTCATATCGCTTTAAGCGATTTTTAATTTTATATTTTGACGGATAGGTGCAACGTTTAATAAAAAATAAATGTGTCACGCCATCAGAATTGCAATTCTTTGCGTGCGTAGTCCTTCTTCGGTAGTACGGTAGACAAAGTCGAACCACTCGCGTTGCAGTATTTTCTTGCAGCGTGCCTTCATCAAACGTTCATGAACTTGAAGAATTTGCCACAACTGTAATTATCAATATGATTTGACATCCGCAATATCAGAACAAGTTTCCATAAAATTTGACAAACATTTGACACAATGACAAACAAGCTGACATTTCTAAATTTAATTAAAGTTAGAGTTAAATGTCTGGTGACTGCAGCATTTAAATATAAATCAAAGCAAGATTAATTTGCTTCGAATAATCAGAATTCGTATTATGTGCACAATAACATCCTAAATTTAGTGATAATATAAATACAGTGTATATTTATAAAATAAATACGTAAAATACTTAATAACAATCACACATTAATACACAAAAAATTCTTAATGAGATAAGCAAACAAAATACCTCAGAATTTAAACAACTTAAGATTTTGTAAATCATTTCCAGTCACGTCGAATATTTGATCTGTAATGGAAGCGGGCGCAAAATATTTCTCATGAATATTAATGCTTACTTAATATTATATCATCTATAACATACGTTACACAAATTTCACAATGCCATTGCTGTCAGTTTTCGTAGAAATTTTCCTCCCCGTCTAGCGGCCTTGTGTTCTAGGAGTTCATTGTTGCCCACCCCCTTCTCTTTCCTCTCGTTTCTCTCACTATGCTTTACACCCTCGCTCTTTATGAAGGACGGGCTAAAATATGAAGCTTGCGTTTTCTACTCCACAAATCTTTGTTCAAAGAGTGCTATAAAAGAGACGTTTAAATTCTTTGTTGTAATTTCTTCAAATTATGTGTAATGTAAGAATTTTCTATTCGTTTAAATGAGAATATGAACGCTTATACTAGAAATATATTAAAAGTATTTACGGTCAACAGAAAACAACATACGCATTTCTTGTTTCTAAAACTTCCCGACTGTTTAAGCATTCTCAAATATTTAAGCTTGATATATTTAATGGCAGTTTTAAACTATATCGTTTTATCCCATTAAAATTTAATCATTGTAGCAAAAGCATCTTGACTACTAAACATGATTCAGTAATTCTCAATGCGAATGCGAATGTTGAAAGGTCTTTTAACATTCCTGTTGCAAATTGTCCCTTTCCCTTCTGGAATGAAACTCGCCCTATATTGGACAGTTTAGTCGACGAGACGATTGAGAAATCTCCGGACAAACACTGATTTGAAACAATCCCCTACGTACAAAAGTTGATACCCTAGACGATGAGAGACTGCATGTAAACAATAATCCTGTCCTGGTCTAAGGGGGCTGTCTCAGCCACTGCACAATACAGGGTTACAAATAAACTAAATAAAAAAATCTATTTATTTCGGACAAACATCCATAATTGTTAGTACAACGAAGTTATACATATAACTATGTTAGTAATAATTAGGTACAGACACGAATAATTAGTGCGTTCGGTCCTATACAATCCACGCGCTCTCGCTACAATATATCGCGTAAAAATACGCCAGTATATTTGGAATTATTTCAATTAAAAAAGATAAGCGAACTTAAGAAATTAAATAAAACGTGTAGAATATAGATTTTTAAATTATCTATCCATTAGTGTAATCCTCAAATGATTAACGCGTTTCCCTTAGCAACAGATGCATGTAATCAATAATTTTAGTCATTTTTTAAAAGTAGATTTTAAATGTATTCATAACACATACAAACAAATTAGAACGTGGAATGTGATGATAGGATATCGAACATTAATAATGTGCTTCTAGATGTAACTATGTGCATAACTGATGAGATAATAGTCTCTGAAAAACGCACATTTGCAAGGTTTTTGATCAGGGTACCGCCTTAAGTACAAATCAGGCCTGCCTGTAGCACTAGGTATATGCACATGCATAGTCACCCAGTGTCCCATAATAGGACAATCTGGTTTGTCACTAATAGCCTTCAGTATGGCATTGGAGCTTCTACGTATTCTGAGGCGACCCGTTTGCGCAACACCGTCTCGAAGCTATCGGTGCACGCTCGCGCATATATGCCCGATGCGCTGCAGAATTGTGGCAGACCCAACCCAAGTGCGCTGAAAGCCCCCCGCGTATAATCAACACACAGATTACATGTGTACATTGTTTGGCAGAAGGCTTTAAACAATGTTATCTTAACTTCTGTGGTACATCGTGAAAATCTGCGGGCTAACACATTACAGCGGACTGCCAACGCTCTCCTTTCCCTCTCCATATCATTATCATCCTTCAGTCGCTCTTTCATAATATGACCGAGATACTTAAAGGACGACACGCTATATAGAGCTACCCCGTTTAGGTACACTGGCAGAACATGGACAGTTTTGCGACCGTCTGCCTTAAATGCCATAATTTCTTTTTTAACTTTGTAAAGAAGACCGTAAAACTCAGCAAAACGCTCACAAACGCTCATCAGTCTTCTGAGAGCAGCGACAGATGGACTCAGTAGCACTATGTTGTCGGCATAACTTATACTATTGACACAAAGACCGTCAATCGAGCATCCTCACGCATGCTGCTGAGCTCACGAATCAGCTGGTCAATAATAACAGTTAAATAGTGCCGGAGAGGTCAAACCACCTTTTCTCACCCCGAATTTAAGTATTAAACTCATCAGAAAACTATTCAAGCCATCTGACCTGGTTAATCTGATTTCCATACCGGTATTTAAACACATTGACAATGTCATTCGGGACACCACTCGCCCACATCTTCGCCCAAAGGATATCGTACTGAAATTGAACCAAGTCAAATGCCTTCGACAGATCCAGAAAATCAGCATGCACACATGTTTTTCTGCAAGTGTAGTTCTTGATTATATGCTTGAGGGAAATAATAGCACACTCAGTTGATAACCGTGGTCAAAAACTGAACTGGGCGTCGTGAAACTTAAGATGTTGTTTAAGTTGTCTCTCAAGTAAACAATCCAGCACTTTAGACGTCACAGTAGCTAATTTTTGGTCTTATCCGCAATATTCCCTGTTTTATTTTTAACAATTGGAACTACGACCGTCCTCATTAGACCTGCAGGTAAGTAGGCGTGCTCCTACAGATTAAGAACAGCATGAACCCCGCATAGTCACATATGGATTCAGGTGTCTATGATCCGTACATGCACGAATAAGTGCATAAGCACGTGTGCAGTCTCTATTTTTCACTCCCGTAGTACGGTAGGGCGACGATTCGACATACGCATATGGCTTACGTATTATGGTTGCAGCAAAATCGATCTAAACGACCAGAGAAGGACTATATTTGCACAGAATCAGCCTTCACTGCTGAACAAAGACCTCTCGCAAAGAATTCCACAAAGCACGGTCCTAAGCCAGCTTTATCTATCGACTACGTATATCTATGAGTAGTCAGGTAATCACTACATTACCTGCCACTGGAAAACTTTTCTTTCTCTTCGGCTGCCCTCTTGTTCTTCGAGCCATATGGGTGGCCCATTGCCACTTCAGCTTACTGATTCGTTGGCTATATAGTATAATGCTGTTTTACTTCATATGATAAGTGAGGTCAATCGGATACCTTTCACAATATTAGCCTTCTGGGGTGCCAATGCATTTAAATTCTTAATCGGGGATAAATGTAGGCGTACATGATCAGTGGTCACTGCTATGGGCAAATTCTATGGTCATCTTTAAGCCTGCAACCACCTTAAGCAAAGAAGCTAAAGTAAGCAATTTTGTCAGTCAGTGACAAAAAAGTCACTAAGGTAATGCTCACTCAGATGAAGTCCTAGTCATAACATGTGGTCTATTAGATTGAGTTATATAATTCATCTCTGCCATAAGAATGCCTCGTTTTTAGTTAAAAGGGTCTCCGGTTCTCTACGCTCACAATACAAAACACAGCAGCATAAAACTGCAATTTTATGCTGGTATTCTGTGAGAGTGTGGTCCTTTCCCGGTTAAGCTGACCCATTTGTGTCACAACCATAAACGAGCTACAGCGTGGCTCTACCACGTAGAGATTTAGTACATGCCTCGTACATTTTAATTTATTTAGTCGAAGAAAATTTTCTTTATTATTAACTTACTTCTATGGTTATTAAACTCTTAAAACTACAGGAAAGTCCAGGATTTTATTAAACATTGTTACGTAAAAATCTCCGCGGAGGACATGTACTATATTGTTATAACAAAGTTTTAAAAAGAGCAAAGATGGAAAGCTTATTTTGACCTAAAATTCATCGTTTCAGCATATTTGTTTCCAGCTTTTTACATGTTTTATTTTTTTTAAACTATTGTCTAAATTAAATTGATATTTTTGATTTTATTTTCATTGTTCCACAGAAATATCTCCAGCCTCTCAAGAGTCCAGAAAATGCCGGCCTTCTAGATGCATTCCTCGTTGATGAGATATTTTATCAGGTGCCGGCGATATTAAATGTGCACCAAGTATTCCTGGAGCAACTGAGACGGCGGCTGGAACAATGGGACCTGCAGCAGAAAGTTGGAGACGTCTTTTTGGACGTGGTAAGTGTATGATGAAGATAATGATTTCATTTGTTCGCACCAACGATTAATATCTTTCTGTTAGCGATCGAGTAACTTCTAAACAACTTGACCGATTGAGGTCATATTGACAAAATATTTTTGTTGATTAAAACTACTTTTACGGATTTTATCGCGTTTTATTTATATTAATTTTAATACCCGACGTTTCGGGTGCTTTCCAGCATCCGTGGTTACGGGGGACTGAGGTGATTGACGTCCCGATGTCAAAGTTAACCCGGAGTACCTTTAGCTTTTTAATTATTGTTTTTGGTCCGATCTACGCAGAATGAACTAACTTATAACTTAAATTAAAAAGCTGAAGGTACTCCTGGCTAACTTTGACATCGGGACGTCAGTCACCTCAGTCCCCCGTGACCATGGATGCTGGAAAGCACCCGAAACGTCGGGTATTAAAATTAATATAACTAAAACGCGATAAAATCCGTAAAAGTAGTTTTAATCAATGTATAGTGTTCGCGTAAATATAAGAAATCAAAATATTTTTGTTTTATCGAAAAGATCCATATGTATTACCGATAGGTGGCGCTGTGTTCAAGTTATTAATTTTTATTTTTTTGACCAAACTTTGACTTGATTTCACAATGTAATATGTTGAAATCAAAAAGAAGTATTAGGCTCATTCTTCATCCATTTCGTAGATTTTGTCAGAAAATTTTAACTTTTTTTACTAAGCTATGTGAGGGAAATACGTAGGACACTCAATAAGTTTTTAGATATACAAAAAGTATTCTAGATACTATTAACATTTATTTTACATATTTTCAAAATATTGTCCATCATGCTCTATACAAAGTTCCATTCACCTAAACCAACTCTGAAAACACTTTTGCCAGTCTTGATCTGACAGGTCGGAAATCGCTTCTTCGTAGGCAGCCACGGCTTCTTTGGCGCTTGAAAAAAAACTCGCGTTTTATTTTTTGTTTGACTCTTGGGAACAAAAAGAAACCACAAGGACCTAAGTGAGGGCTGTAGGTTGGGTGACTTAGAGTTTCAACGCCAGATTACTCAATAAATGCTTTTGGTCTAAGGGGCAAAGTCTTGGGGGAAGAGGCGTTATCGTGATGTAGTATGATACCCCGAATCCCGATCTTTGGTCTTCTCTTCCGCACATCTTGAAAAGCTTTGGGTAATGCAACTGTAGTATACCATTAAGAGTTGACTGACCTACAATTTTCCAGCATTGACGTCGACAAATATCCGCTCCGGGAAAAAAACTAGCCACCATTTTTTTGCCGACGTTGCGAGGTCTTTGCAGTTTTGTCGGTAAATGTCCTTCTGAGTAGACCCATACCGATGATTGCCTTTTATTTTCCATATCATATTGATAGATCTACGTCTCGTCACCAGTAACGATTTTTGAAACACGCCTAGATGCCCCGTTTTCAAAATGTAGACGCATTTCATGGCACCATTCCACACGAATACGTTTTTCGCTTTCAGAGAGCAAACGAGGGATCCATCGACAATAAAGCTTCCTCATTCCAAGATGTTGATGTAGGATGGTATGAATGCTCCCCGAACTAATGCCTACAATCTTCTCGATGTCCGTATATGTGATTCGTGGGTCTACTCGCACCAACATTTCAGTAGTCCATACATTTTCCACCGTTACCGCTGTTTACGGGGCTCCGGTACTTTGGTGATGTTTAAGGTTAATTTTACCTCTTTTGAATTCAGCAAACCACCCAAAAATTGTTGCGCGTGATAGAGCTGAGTCTCCTAGTGCTGATTGTAACTGTTGTAAACTTAATTGTTTGGTTAAACCAAATTTAAAGTCATAATAGATCAAAGCGCACAAATGTTCATCAATTTGCTGGAAAATTAATAGAACTTTGTTTTTTTTTTTAATATCGAGAAATTGGCTTATGGAGTTCTATTTTAAAATAAATTTGCTTTTTAGAAACATATAACACGGGTGCGTTCCATTTTTAAATTTCGAGTATCTCAGAACTTATTGAGTGACCTGCGTATTTGCCGCCATATAAAACCAAAACTAGTGGGAGGACAGAGACAAAAACACAAAATCTTATATTATAACTATTATATTAAGAAAAATATAGCAAACAAGCTTAGGCAATAATTTAGGAACACTTGGAAAAATCTACCTAAAAAACTAACTACAATGCTTGCTATAGTGTCAACTGTCGAAATGGCGTCGATAAAGCAGCGCCCTTTTGACTCTTTATTATTTGATTGACTGATGAAGAGTTATCGTATCACAAAGCCATCTATGCAAATAAGGCTGTAGTTTTTGAGATATAAAGAAGTGACCATATTAACCGGATTACCATATAACCCTAACGTATTATAATTACAGCATACCTGAATTAAAGATTTACCTATAACACTAGTTTACAAAATTGAACTTTTTTTATACGCCAAAATAAATGTATATAAATATGTTAATCTACCTTCCTTAAACCTAAAAGTGTTAGCAGAAATATTTTATCACGTCACAATTTCTTCTTGCATTCAAATGTTTTATTAATTACCTACCTAATGTGGTAACGACAGTTTATTGTTTATTCGTTCGCTTTAAAACTTGTTTCGGATTAGGTAATTTAAAATGTGTAGTAGAAAGTTCTGATCGTTTTTGTTATGTTTGTGGACAGTTTATATTTTCAAAAAAGAGATGACCCATTGTAGTTTCGTTAAAAAGTGCATATCTTCATTATTTTGGATTTCCTATTGTAAATCGAGCTAAAAGTGGGTGCATTATGTGTGATGAAGACTTAGGAAGTATGTGTGATGAACAAGGGGAACGTTTTCATCAAGATTTAAAGGTTTTTGAAGAACAACATCAAGGATTTTGGTATTAAAACATGTAAGGGTGTTACTGTTGGTCCATTATAAGAGAAACTAATTCAAATAGCTATAAAAATAAGGTAAAAATTCGTCATTTTTAGTTTTTTTTTAGTATTAATGCCAAAATTATGTATTTCAGTTAAGTTAATAAATATTTCTTAAACCAGACGTGATAGAATTTGTTAATTATTTTTTCTGGATAATTCTACCTAAATAATAACAAAATAACAACTTTCAGCTGGGGTATGAAAACCGTGTAAACTAGTGTTATTATTGTATAGTTACCTTTTTTACCACGTTTTTAATTACTCGCTTTTGTTCATTAATTAATTTTAACATTAATTAATTTTAAACTAACTTGCCGATGAGCTAGTCACAAGATGAAATTTTGAACGTAGCTCAAAATTGGATACGAATGTAAAAAAATGAAAAAAAAAAGAATTTCATAATTTAAAGTCCGTTTTAAAAACGTGGTATATTTATAGTTTTATACATAGTTTTTTTTTTAACTGCAACTGATTTAATACATTATTTAAAATATATAATAAATAAATCACCAAATACTTGAATAAAAGTGTTTAAAATGTAAAAAAAAATGGTTATATTTTTATTCATCCTATTAAAAGTTTCTAATTTCTCATCGTTTTAGTTCACGAAACCCGCAGTAATGGACACCTACATGTCTTTTATAAACAATTTGAAAAAAGCGAAGGAGACTATAAAAACAGCGGCTGCTTCAAGACCCGCCTTTGCCAAGTTCCTAGACGCCATGGCCCGAGACCACAAAGGAAAATTGTCTTTGGACAACCTTCTCATAAAGCCTGTGCAGAAATTCCCCAGCTACAAACTGCTCATCCAGAGGTTGATAAAACACACAGGTACTGCTGTACAGTTTATATATTTTATTCTAATTATTTTTATATTACTCTCACAAGATACCAGCGTAAAATGTCAACTTAATACTGCTGTGTTTCGTATGGTGATAGTGTAGAGATTCGGAGACACTTTTTTACTGGAAACGAGGCATTCCATATTAGCCCTCAGGCGTGGCAACTCATCTGCATTTTGATTCTTAATCGAGAATAAATGTGGTGTGATGTGAATGGTCTATGGACCACAGCATCCACTCACCATCAGGTGGACTGTCTGTTTTACTTTTTTTACAAACTGTCGTTTGTCACCCTTATTCTATAAAAAGTGCGGCTAATGGCAACTTTATGTTGTGATATCTTCATCTATTTTTATTTTATAGAACAGGGGGCAAACGAGCATACGGCTCACCTGATTGAAAGTGACTACCGCCGCCTTTGAACAACTGCAACACCAGGGGAATCGCAGATACGTTGCCGGCCTTTTGTAAGGTCTTTTCTTGAAGGTCCCAAAGTCGTATTGGTCTGGAAAAATCGCCGGTGGTTAACGATTCCACAGAGGGGTCTTACGAGAAATAAAGCTCCTAGTAAAACGTACAGTGGTGGACCGCCAAGAGTCCAGATGACATGGTATCTCACATAGCCTCCTCAGACCGATAGTATCTACAGCAAATGACACAAATATGTAGTCATTCCTCAGAGATTGATATTTGCGCTACATTTTTAGATCCCTTGTGTTATCTCTATCTCTCTTCCTGGCTATGTGTCCCACATGGTGGTGGGGTCAGCCTTTCTTGTCTTACGCCTCCACTTCGCTCTATCCTCGACTTCATTTTCGGAGACTTCGCACTCTCTCATGTCCTTTACCACTACATCTTTCCATCGTGTTTTGGGTCTGCCCCTGGATCTTCGACCTGGGATGGAAAGTTGTAGTGCCAAGTTCCCTACGTAGTCGGGTGGCCTCCTCTTCACGTGCCCTTGTGTTATATTAAATCCTTATAATTTCGTTCTGTCTTGTTATCCCAATGTGTCAATGTGTCATTATAACTTGGTGTAAGACTTTAAATTATGCAAACCAAAATTAATAATTTAAACCAAAGGCGGGTTGATTATGACATTAGGATTTCAGGCATTTTAGTCCACCCGTGATCTTCAATCCACTAACGCATAGAGTTAAAAAATAAGTTAAAATTAAACGATATGGTCACTTGTATTTAATGTGTTCGCGAATGGCAATCATTATATTTATTAAAATTAATTAAGGAGAAAAGGTATTAAGATATGATTCTACAATTTGTAGATTAAAAATATTACGAATTAATTCATTTTTATTCTAATATTTCTTCTCTATTGTACACAGTTCAAACTTTTTACACTCCTTTACAAATGCGGTATCATTAGATAGAGAATTAAGAGTTTCATATTTCTTTATAATATTTCTAATTATCAAATATCAGTTTTTAGAATATCAATTTGATAAGTAGCCTGAGTATTCAGAACTTGAGGGGCTTAGTTTTATAATATTTCCATTTATTTCTATAGTTCAAAGTACAAACACAGCGGCCTTTTAATAGGCTTAATGAGTGAATCATTATAATTTGTAACAAGATTGATCTATTTTAATTCATCTGGAAAAAATTACTGCGAAAGCATTCTTAGCCCTCAGGAATGGTAACATAGTAAAGTTACAGCCCTTAGACGTCCCACTGCTGGGCACAAAACTCCAATCATTTCTGAGAGGACTTTAGAGCAAGGAAGTGTCCGCCGCGCTACACCAATGCGTGTTAGCGGACTTCACATTTCGCAGATATGCAGGTTACCTCACGTTTTCCTTAACCAGCACGTGGTAAATTAGCACTTAAAATTGCACTAAACAGTTTCATTGGTGAGGGCAAGGATCGAACCTGGGTTGCTTGTGTACTATGACATTTACAGCGAGCGCTAAACCACTGAGCTACTACTGCAGGGATGGGGACTACATCCATTAATTATTTACATACGAGTAAGTGAATCCGTCTATCAATTATAAAGAGGCGTAATGTGAATTCGTTATAATTTTTATCAAAAAGAATACAAACGTAATAATAAAAAAAGAATATAAAGAATAACGTCCTTTTAATTTCAGACCAGTCACATCCGGATCATAAACTTCTGTTAGAAGCCCAAAAGGAAATACATGAACTATTAGAATTAATCAACTGCACAGAAAGGGAGAGCCTGGAAATGGAGCAACAGCAACAAACGTTGCGAGAGTTGGAACAAATGATCGAAGGTCTATCAAACCTGGTCATTGCCGATCGGATGTTCTTGAGGCATGAGATGGTTACTATGCCTTCAGCACAAGGGACCATAAAAGATAGAGCTCTATTCCTTTTTAATGATACTCTCTTGATAACGAGTGTTAAAAGAAGGACGGGTACTATTAAAAAACCAATTCCGTAAGTATACACATATACACATATTTTATTTATAATACGTATTATAAGAATGAGTATAATAAAAAAATAAAGTTTGTCAGTGGATGACCTGGAACAATATCGATGATTATACGAAATTGTAGAAATGATCAAAGTACAAAAGTTTTGTTGGTAGAAATCGTTCAATTAAATAAATGTTGTTTTTTTTTAATCTCTTAGCTTTCTTAGATTGACAATTCATCAGTACGTTTTTTTGTATGTTTTGCAATATCTTCGTCAATTGTGAATCGATTTTGATAATTCTTTTTTAATGATATAGGTTATACTTCAGGAGTGGTCAAATTTGGAGAAAACATTTCACCATTAAGACAGGCAAAATAGGGAATGAAAATTTTAATGGAACTATTTGGACGGCATTAGGTTTAGGTTTAAAGACATTTATTCTCATAAAGACATTTTATACGCCACTTACATGAGAAGATAAATAAAAGTAAATCTAAATAACGAAAGTCGTCGTACATATGTTGTTGAAAAATAAACAACATCAAAAACAGCTATCGATGGGAAAAATCTATACCAATAAAAGAAAAGTTAAATTCTGGTATAGCACCACAATACTAAGACCAGGAACAAACCAGTCAAACGCACTCAGATAGATACGTTTGTGATTATATATATTATTTGCTAGTCGCTTTTTGAATACATTGAACGAGTTATCTTATTAAAAAGTGAGTTTGGAAGTCTTTAAAAATCTGTGCGTAGTTTGAGTGAAAAAAAATATATTTTTTATAAAATTAATTTTTTTTTTTAATTAAAAAATAAAAAAAAAAAAAAAAAAAAATAAAAAAAAAAATGGGGGATTTTTTGTTGGGAGGAAAAAATTTTTTTTTGTTGTTTTCTGGAAATTATTTTTCATTCTATTTAGTTTTTTGGAGTTGGCTTTTGGTTTTATTTACTTATTTCATATTAAACTTTACCCATTTCAGTACATACCAAAGCAGTATAGCGAGTCAGATGGAAGGAAATAAATACAAACTATTAATGAGGATATCTCTAGCTGATCTCGAAATTGTCAAAGGTAAGTAAAAGTATTGATTGTAAGAGCCATGGGCGACGAAAACGTAAAAAAAAATACAAATAAAATGAACTAAAGTAATCCTGATATAGTTTTCTATTCGAATATATTGACGGGTGTAAACAAAAAACAGATGAACGTGGCACATCCGTACAAGCGCAGTGCCGGGCGACACCACTGTAGGGGATAAGAGCTAAATGGATTGTATTTAGGGAGAAAACTGAACTATTACTGTGAAGAAAGCTAATTACTGTGACATCTGTCTGACTAAAACTTGATAAACGAAAATTGCTATTTTTAACTACAAGGGGTTGAGTCGAAATTAAAGATATTTGAAATAAACATTATATTGAACACTATTTATAATTAATATGCGGCAGTTAATACTAAAGCACTATATGAACTTAATAGGGTTCTTGAAGGCTTCTTTCTTGCTTGGTTTTCTTGCTTGTTCTGTCTTAAAAGCTGTAACCGCGCGAATGAAAAAACCTAGCCCGAAGCGCTTCTTTTATTTCGACGTACGGTGTACGAATTTCAAACTTGTATAAAAATATTACTTTTACATCATCATCATCATCATTACAGCCCTTCACAAGTCCACTGGTTTACATAGGCCTCCCTCAAGGAACGCCGCAAAGCACGAACCTGAGCCACCTGCATCCATCGACTTCCTGCATGTCTTACCAGGTCGTCACTCTATTTAGTGGGGGGTCGCCCTACACTACGCCTACCAGTACGAGGCTGCCATTCGAGAACCTATTTGCCCCATCGATTGTCAGTTCTTCGAGCTTAATGGTCGGCCCATTACCACTTCAGCTTACTAATCCGTTGGGCTATATCGGTCACTCTGGTTCTACTGCGGATATCCTCATTTCTAAGTTCATCACGCAGAGAAACCCCAAGCATAGCCCTATCCATAGCTCGCTGAGCGACGTTGAGCGTTCTAATATGGCCAGCAGTGAAGAACCACGTCTCAGATCCGTATATCATCACTGGCAGCACGCACTGGTTGTGCTTAGTTTTTATGCAAGTTTAATTACCTATGTATGTATGCAAACAATTTTTTTTGATTTATAATGGCATAATTTATCAATGGAAATAGAGTCCTTCATTTTCACCTATAGGATCTCACCAATAAGTTATCAATAAGCAGTAGAATGTAGATGATATATTATGTGTATATTTTGTAAGGAAGGGTTTTTTGCAATCGTAAATACATAAATATGAAGAAGTTATGCTCGGAATTCCTTTGCGGGATAAAATCCACATCGAGGACATCCGCAGAAGTAAAGAATACAGAAATACAAGAGAAGAGTAACTGACATAGCCCAGCAGATCATGAAGTTAAAGTGGCAATGGGTCGGCCATATATCTCGAAGAACCGACAACCGATGAGGAAAGAGGTTTCTCGAGTTGCAACGTCGTAGTGGCAAGTGGAGTGTTTCGTCACCCCCACTATAGTCTCTAATATAGTATTCGATGTATGCGTATGACTTAGGAACCGTACTTAATGGCAATTTAAGCAGACCTATGTTCAACACTAGGACTTGTGATAGTAAAATACAGGAAGTTGTGGTTAGTTTATTTATTAAACTGTGCTTTGTTCTTCTACTCTTGTGTTTTAACATGTGTTTTTGAAAACATGATAGTATCATTAAAAACATAACTGAATTTTATAGATACTATCATGTTTTTAAAATTAAAATTTAACGCGGTCACATTCAAAAAAAATATTTTTATATGTTTGTGTTTATTCAAATGAAGTTACAGTTTTTACAGAAAACAATTATTCTTTTCAGCTAAAGATGAAAATATAAGGCGTATAATGCACGAAGTGGAAACACTAACTGAGGATGTGAATACACTTACGCAAATTTCTGAAAATGTCGCGGCGTTACATACTCACCACGCACAGCTCGAGGAGCTAGTGAGGGACATGCTACATTCTGTTAATAAGCAACTGATGGACAGACAGAATAGCGACACGCAGCTTTGCTACATGGAGATTAGCTTGAATACTTCGTAAGTAGATAATAATAAATATTTCATTTTAGTTTTGTGAATCTCTTGAGCTAGTAAAAAAAATTCAAATATTTAATATGTAGGTAGTTTTTTTAAATAATTTGGAGTACATGGTAACCCACTCACAATTTTTGGAGGCGTAATACTTGGTGAGAGATATAGGTTATAAATAGTAGTATATAAAAAATAATAACTAAGTAGAAAAATCTAATAATTCTTGGTTTAGAACCGTACTATGCGGCAGTTCTTGGTTAACAGTGCACTTGACGGACTGCAGTGAAAATAACGTTGTTCACAAAATATATAAATCTAGGGGGTTTTAAAACAATAATGAGTAAAATAAGAATGTTTGTATTTATCTCCAGTTAAAAACATACGAACAGAAAGGCAGTATAGTTCAAATAACAGTAAATGATTGACGTAAAAGTTGTAATAAACAGGCCAAAAATCTGATTTGTACATAAAATATTAAAGTGAAATAAAAATACACACGTATTATTTGAATATGTTTCAGGAGTGGACCGGAGAATTTAACAATAATTTTTCCGAAAACGGAGAAGAGGAACAGTTGGGAAGAATTGATAAATGAGACCAAACATAAGTTATGTGAGTAGAGATCCTAAACGTATTGAATTTTTAAAAATAATATAGAACAAAGCGAACATCAATAGTTTTTTTATAAATACGATAAGGGTAACAAGTGAACACAAAGTCCACCTGATAGTAAGTGGTTGCTATGGCCCATAGACGTGTTCATCTATCCTCGATTACGAATCAAAGTGCAGATGCGTTGTCACCCGTGAGGACTAAGATTCAATGCCTCGTTTCCACTAAAAACGATCTCCGGTTCTCTACGTGTGAGAGCGTGGTCCTTACGAGCTATATTAGTAGTATAGTTGTAGTACGACCCATTCGTACTACAACTATACTACTAATATAGCTGCAGCATAGCTCTACCACGTAAATAGGTAATGCCTTACTAGGTGAGAATCTTTGCGGCTTAAGAGTCCATCTGGGTAGGAACTTTTCTATGTGGTAGAGCCACGCTGCAGTTGTATTATGGTTGTAGCACGAATGGGTTGGCTCGACCGGGGAGGGACTACGCTCTCACAGAATACCAGCGTAAAATAGCAGTTTAATGCTGTTGTTTTTCGTATGGTGAGTGTAGAGAATCGGAGACCCGTTTAACTGGAATCGAGGCATTCCATCTTAGTACTCAAAGGTGACAATGCATCTGCATTTTGATTCTTAATCGAAGTTAAATGTAGATAGATATCTATGGACCACGGCATCCACTTACCATCGGGTGAACTGTGTGCTCATTTTCCACCCTTATTCTATAAAAAAGAACCATCTTCTTACCTACAAGTATTTCCACCGCCAAGGATCAGTGCGTACATTGGTGTGTTCTAGTCTGAAAAGTATATATAACATAGATTAAAATTTAAAAAAAAAACGACGGGTTACACTCCGGGAGTGCCGGCAAAAGTGAAAACTTGAATATTAACGTTGTGCATTTTTGATATTTTGGAATGGTTAGGGAATAATTTTGAACATTCACAACACAACACAACACGAACATTCGCGTAAGCGCGCCTGCTGTTTCGTTCAGGCGGCGCAGGCATACACTTTCGCCGTGCCATAGAAAGAGAGGGGAATACTTCCTCTTCTACGCCGCGCCGGCTGTCTCTCTCTCTCCATCCGTCTAACGAATTTTCGATCAGTCCTGACGCGAGTTTAACATTTTTTACCCATTACAAAAAAGTGTACAACGCCGCTAAAAATTTTCACTTAAAAAACAAAAACCCTGAACAAAAGAGCTAATGATCTTCAAATGCCTGAAAAGATTTTCTTAAATCATTACTAAGAACACTCTCGATCAATTTACCTTTCAAACAAAGAAATCTAAATCGGTTCATCCGCTAAGATTAGAGTTACGATGCCCGAGACAGACACACACATACACACATACACATACACACATACACATACACAGATACACACATATGCAAATACACACATTAAATACGCAACACCCGTCTTTTTGGTCGGGGGTTAAAATCAATATAATTACAATCTGTAAACATTCCACCTTAAGGCCGAATACGAAGAGAACTGGCGAAAATTAATGTATTTCTCTTGACTAGAACTTTGACCTGAAGTAATTCTAAGCTTTAAAACATTTTTGTAGGTTTGTTCGGGTCCTTCACAAGGTCACCGTCATTTTAAAATTTTAAAATAAATGAATATACCAACAAATAAAAAAATGTTAAGAAATGATATATAAAATTATTGTTCTTCCAAAACTCTGTGAATTTTAATTTAGGAAAAATTCTTTTACGTAAAAATGTTTGTATTGTGATTCCGAAGGTACCTGCTATCTTTATTTTCGATACAAAATATTATTTATTAACATAATTCGTTTTAATTAAAAACACCTAATAATAATATCGTATATTGCCAGATAAAAGTTTGCCGTAATAAATTACCAGGCGCTTCGACGTGTGACGTAAGATAACAACAGTCGATGTTTCTGTAGCGAAAATCGTTAATTTATTGTTTTATACGCGTTTAAGTGTCTATAAATGTAAATATGGGTAGGAAAAGAAATAAATGTTACCTAAGTGGTAAAACAAAGAGAGTTTATCGCATGAACGCTGCTCGAATGTTGTATTTTGAGGTACCTGATACTTTATTTTTGTAAGTAATTTTTTGTTTGAGGCTGCCTAATAGGTTGCATTTTTACTCATTTACATTAGCCAAACTGATCATTTATACTTTTCTAGTTTCAAGTGAGAAACACTAAAAATGTAAAATATCAAGACCCAGTCGGAAAAGAATGTACAGAGTAGTGCAAGCGCAGAGACCGCAAATAATGTCAGTCAATGTATTGTCCGAAAGCATGGGGTAAAAGTACATAATTAAGAAAAACCGAAATACTTCGGATGTGAAGTGATTGACCAGTCGGAGTAGTCTTGTGAGAATTTGCATACACAGTACCTATCCCCACTATGGGGCAATCACTGACTTTTTAGTTTTTTTTTCTTTATTATTTATGCAATTTGCATTACGGCATCTTGTAAGACTCACAAGAACAAACATTTTCAGTTATATGAGGTTCTTAACGTACGATGCACCAATTAAGAAAAAAAATCTTTATCAATTCAATAACTTTTCGAACAATATTTTATAACGAATAAAGTACAGAATTTATAATCTATAGGAACTAATATTATAAATAAGAAAAAATTTATTTAAGAAGTAAGCAAAGCTCTCTGTGTTGTTCATTACTCTGCATCTGAGCTAGCTCCGTCAAATTCCCTGTTTGATAGGTATTATACATGTCTATATAAACAAAGCGTAGGTACTGGCGGCGCGTGGTTTGCTGCGAAACGAGCAAGGTCATTCACGTCGTATTCGGCCTTAATCCTCGGAGGTGACGTTGCCTTCTTTGTTGCTTACAGTTTGACAAATTTAAAATGTAAATAATGTACAGCCTTTATAAGGATAAATTAAATTAAAAAAAGACGCTGTTTGGACTGTTTGTTCTTTTTCACTTCTATTTTATTTAAAAAAAACTATAGCATTAAAGCGGAACCGAGACGCTTCACGTCGTTAGTCTGTATCTTCTCCCTGAGAATCAGTTCTTCTTCATCCTTCTTCTGATGAGAATCAGTCCGATAAAGTTCACTAATGGACATACACATCTCCCATTGTATGGAGTTTTTGCCATCATCTTCACGTTTCGCAAGCGAATTAGTGATCGACGTATTAATTTTTACATGTGTAGTGCTGCACTTACGACGTTTAGTAAAATAAGATAATATGCCACCAATAATTTTTCATAGTCTCCTCTTATAATACTCACCGGACGGAGTGGGGTGATACATTATCTTGCGTCGCTATAACACGATAATAGCGCCATGGTGATGACGTCGCATTGGTAAGACCGATTTTAACATTTCGGAAATAAAAATTGCTACTCCTAAAATTGACCGCCTATCTTCAAAAACTATTCCACAACATGAGTTTTTGAAGATAATTTTAGTATTCCAAGTTTTAAATGAATTATTAACGCCCTCAGTTATAATCGTTCGTCGTTGACTATCGCTTACATTAATAGGTATAGAGATAATTAATATTCTAATAAATCTAAATATCTATTTATTTCTAATGTGAATTAGTGAAGATAGTTATAACTAATTTGACGTAGATTTTATGACTACGGCCGTAAATTCTAAATCCCATAATAATTTTTCAGGTGTATATGGCCACGAAAGACCGGCTCCTGAATTCCTTTCGCCCGTTCCAATACGAAAGACTCGAGCTGGTTTACAGTTCACATGCGCTGCTCCAACATTACCACCGAAGGGACAGTCTCCTGATGTATGGGTAAGTCCAAATATTTATTACAGATAAAAGTGTGGGGGTTATAGGTGAAAGGCAAGAGATTTAAAAATTAGCCTACGATATATTTGTAGTTGTCTCCAATATGTTAAAATATTGTGAAGATTATATCATATAAGAAAGAAGACTTCAACGCTAAACTAGGCACAAGAGAAAGCGGTGAGCTGAAGTTAGTGAAATTTGGAGTAGGGCAACGGAATCGTAGGGGCCAGCAGCTGGCCAACTTTATGGAGAAAGAGGGACTCTTTATGATGAACCCTTTATTCCAGAAGCGGCCTCTCAGGAAGTGGACCTAGTCGAGCCCCGACGGTTTGACAAAAATGTGATTGACTTCATTACGACGACCAGACACCAACTGTTCAGTGATGTCTCTATGATCGCGAGGGTGAAAACTGGCGGCGATGACGAATGTTTAGAGGCACACTGAACTTAAACGTTAAGTTGGAGAGGTCTCGTCTAGTGAAGTCAACGCTCCGTCCCCCTCGTGCGCTAATCCAGGGTTCGGAAAACTTTCAGCTCGAATTACAAAACCGTTTTCAGTGCCTAGAAGACTGCAATACAGTAAACGATATGAATGACAAGCTCGTGGAAACTGTTCATGCGGTCGGAGCTAAGTTCGGCAAGACCCGCCGCAGAAGAACACTAAAACTCTCCGGTCACACTCTTAATATGAGCGGAACCAGGGCTCCAAAGTCTTTGCCAGAGATCTGTCTGCCAGTAAGAGCTAACTGTCAAAGCTGAAGACTGAGTGTGGCAGCATCGTTTCCGAGACACCTGAGATTCTGAGTGAGATTGAGAGGTTCTATGGGCAGCTGTACACATCATCGTTGGAGCCACACGCAAGTGTGAGTAACGATCCAAGAGCAAGTCTTATCCGACACTATTCCGATGATATCCCGGACATCAGTATGAGCGAGATTAGAATGGCTCTCCAGCACCTTAAAAATGGCAGGGTTCCAGGCGAGGGTTAAATTACAGCGGAACTTCTGAAAGCGGGTGGAAAACCGGCACTTAAAGTCCTTCAGTCCAAAAGTCTTTCATTCCATCCTTCATGGAGGCACTACTCCCGAGGCGTGGAACAGAAGTGCGGTGGTCTTGTTCTTCAAGAAAAGTGACAACGCCTTCTTGAAAAACTACAGACCGATATCCCTTCTGTGCCGCGTCTACGTGCTGTTTTCGAGAGTCATTACGAATCGTACACGCAGGCTCGACGACTTCCAGCCTCCCGAACAAGGTGGTTTCTGAAAAGGCTTTAGTACCATAGACCACATACATACCCTTCGGCAAGTTCTGCAGAAGTCCGAAGAGTACAATCTGCCACTTTGCCTGGCGTGTGTGGACTATGAGAAAAGCCTTTGATTCCGTCGAAATTTGGGCGGTGCTACTGTCTCTTCAGCGGTACCAGGTTGACTGTCGGTATATCGAAGTGCTGAAGTGTTTGTACAGTAGGGCTAGGATGGCTATCCGAGTACAGAACCGGAGTTCGAAACCTATCCAACTGCAGAGAGGTGTAAGGCAGGGTGACGTTATTTCCCCGAAACTTTTCACTGTTGCATTGGAAGACGTTTTGAAGCTACTGGACTGGAAAGGATACGGTATTAACATTAATGGCGAGTACATCACTCGATTTGCCGACGATATAGTCCTTATGGCAGATTCGCTGGAGGACTTAAGCACTATGCTCAATGACCTCAATAGTGCCTCCCAACGGATAGGTCTTAAGACGAACATGGACAAAATAAAGATCATGTTTAATGTCCATGTCACACCTATGCCGGTAGTTGTTGGGAGCACTATGCTCGAAGTTGTTGACGAGTGCGTTTACCTGGACAAATAGTCCGACTAGGTAAGTCCAACTTTTTTTCATCTATTCATCGACGGATTCAACCCATGGATACGACACATCTTTTCGTCAGGTATACCTCAAAACCTGAAAACTAAGTTGTACAACCAGTGCGTGTAGCCAGTGATGACCTACGGAACCGAGACGTGGTCCTTCACTGCTGGCCGTATGAGGACGCTTATAGTCGCTCAGCGAGCTATGAAGAGGGCTATGCTCGGGGTTTCTCTGCGGGATAAACATAGAAATGAGGGTATCCACCAGAGTGACCGACATAGCCCAACGGATTAGTAAGCTGAAGTGGCAATGGGCCGGCCATATATCTCGAAGAACCGACAACGGTTAGGAAAAAAAGGTTCTCGAGCCTCGTACCGGTAGGCGATGTGTAGGGTGACCCCCCACTAGATGGAGTGACGACCTGGTAAGACATGCAGGAAGTCGATGGATGCAGGTGGCTTAGGACCGTGCTTTGTGGCATACCTTGGCGGAGGCCTATATTCAGCAGTGGACTTGTAAAGGGCTGTAATGATGATGATGATGATGATTGTGAAGAGAAAAATCAATAGTTTTTTCTTTGATTTGACATAGTTGGCACGCTAGACGGGTGGTTTGGCAATCACAGTTTTATTTGAGCTAATAATATGAAGATGCTGCTGCCCATCTGTGTCACCTAAGAGTTGAGCACAACCTTTTCTCATCTTATTAGTCTTTAAAAGAATACGTGGAAAAAATTCCAATTTTGTGTGGTTTTGCTACTTGCTAGACGGTTAAGAAAAACATCTTAAAGAAACATTCATAACTGAGAAATACAATATTTTCAAGATATATGAAGTCCACCAAAATATATGTCTTCATAGCCCTCTTAGAAATGTGAGAAGGCTGTAGGGCGTGTATTGGCTGTAAGCTCGTTTTATTTTATTTAAAATAATCATTTCGAACCGATTCATCAGACAGCAAGGTGCACTGTTGGTACTAGAAGAAAAAAAAACTGAATAGGTATTAGGTATCCCCCTTACACCCTTCTTTACTGCTTATGGCAGATATATATTAAGTGACGCCGAAACTATGCTCAACTTCTTGACATGCACTCACGCACACATATTTAATACTTTTTCTCTATCAGACCGTTAAATTCACCGCTAGACCTACTGCTTGTTTTTTGTTTCGACTTGATTTCGGCGTCACAACAAATGAACGTAGTGTTCTGTGAGTTGCAATTAAAATTTAAATGTTTATGTTAACTTTTACAGGTATGCAACAGCGACGGTTACGTTGGCCAAGTATGCGTTCTCACGCTGTCTCCAAAACCGCAAGTGACTTCGTGTAATGGGGTTTGCAATGCGCGAATACTGTGCGTCGCTTGTGTTCCACCTGCACCTGCACTCGCTCGGCAGCATACTCTGGATATACCGTAAGTATTTACAGTAAATGTAAGGTACATGAGGGTAATATAATCTTAAGATTTACCGCCCTATAAAACCAAAACTAAAACGAGGATAGATACAAAAATACAAAGTCTTATTATCGTATTACTTTAACCAATATATTTAAAAAAAATAAAGCAAACAAGCTTTGGCAATAATTAGGAACTTAAAAATCAACTTAAAAAAACTCACTATTGACACACTGAGTATTTAAGTATTAAATAATTTGAGTACTAAATGAATACTCAAAGACATTACACAATACTATAATCAACTAAAATATTTACTATCATATCAACCGGTAAAATGGCGTCGATAAGGCAGCGCCTTTTTGACCCTTTATTATTTAATTGACTGATAAAGAGCTACCGTGTCATAGAGCCTTCTATACGAACAAAGATGTAGTTTTTGAGTTATAAAAAGGTGACCATATTAATCGGATGATCATATTACCCTCACGTTCTACAATAATATTATTAAATAAAAAGATAAAAATACTTTTTTTAAGCGACCATTTCCACGATATTCTCACTTTTACTTATGTTTAAAGTTACAAGTCCTTAGCTCATCTAGAAATTAGTTTCAAGTTGGTTTCCAACTGAACAGTTAAACAAACAAACAGGCCGACAAGAAGGTGAGTTTTTGAGCATTGTCATTCAGTTCTGAGCTATAATTAATTATTCAAGTCTCTATTCTCTCATCTAAGCTCATCGGCTTATTTCCCGGCTAATTAAAAATCGTTTGTACAAAATTTGAACCGAACAGAGCTATATTATGGCTGTAGCACGAATGGGTCGGCTCGACCGGGGCACGACCACGCTCTCCCAGAATACCAGCGTAAAATACCAGCTTAATACTGCTGTGTTTTTTATGGTGAGTGCAGAGACCCGGATCCCCTTTTCTACTGGAAACTAGGCATTCCATCTTAGTCTTTAGGGATGACAACGCATCTGCGTTTTGATTCTTAATCGAGGATAAATGTAGATTTCTATGAGCCACAGCATCCAATTACCATCAGGTAGACTGTGTGCTCATTTGTTACCCCTATTCTATAAAAAAAAACAGAGAAGAAAGCTCAGTAAATAAACTCATGGCGTAGGCTGAGGCTGTAACTTATATGATTTCAATTAAAACTTCTAAAGTTACGTTCAACGGTTTTAATCGATACAAATTTCTCGGGCTAATTTCTGAGTTTTTTTCTCTTTCAGGAGTACGAGTTCCTTAAATAGTACCGGATCTACGAAGCCAGGCATCAGTATATCAGACCCAGATGATAGTTGCAAGAATATCCGACTAGACAGGTAAAATAAGTTTGAATACCGTTTAGTCTCGACTTAAATAGCAGCAGAAATTATACTTGTATTTTGTATGTACGTATGTTGTATGTATATTTTTTTTTTGTATGTTTTATTGTACACCGTAAAATAAGACAAATAAAAACAAATTACAAGGACAGGAAGAAAAATTTAGGAGATAAATACAACAAGGTCTCATCGCTGAAGAGGGATTTCTTCCAAGCTCTTAAGTTTGTCTGGAAGATATCACTCTTCAGCGATTAAGAAATAAAACAGTGGGAAGTTGTGTATAATATATAAATGAACTAAACCAATAATTATATACACATTAAATTACAATAACAAAATAATAGAGAATTTTTTACGTGGTAAAGCCATGCTGCAGCTATATTAGTAGTATAGTAGTAGCACGAATGGGGCGGCTCAACCGGGGAAGGACCACGCTCTCACAGAATACCAACGTCAAATAGCAGCTTAACGTTGCTGTGTTTTGTATGTGTGAGTGTAGAGAACTGGAGACCCTTTTTACTCAAATAGAGGCATTCCATGTTAGTCCTCACGGGTGACAACGCATCTGCATTTTGATACGTGATCGAGGATTGATTTCTCTGGGCCGCAGCAATTAGTTACTATCAGGTGGACTGTGTGTATCAGGATCAGATGCTCGTTTGTCACTCTTATCCTAAAAAAAATCATACAAAACAAATAAAGGTAAAATATATACAAAAGATAAAACAGGCAAATCTACATATCTACTGGATGCAGGAGTCAATAATACAGAACTGAAAGAAAAATCTAAATGGCGTTAATGATGACAAGAAATTAGTACAGTGACAGGTACGCACGAACAACGAATTTACGGAGGAAGTTCGGTCCAGCCCTTGACTGTGAAATAATTCCTAAAGTTATTCTTTGATAAGATCTGGCGCGAATAGCTCTGCGACATATATGCAAGAAGGACAAATCTTCAATTAGTTTTGAGTCTGCCTTAATTACAACATCGAACCACAAACCTCCTAATTTATATTATTTTACCTCCTGCGCAATTGATAGACTTCTGACTATTCGAAAGTTATCATCGTAGTCGAAATCATCCAGAAGGACATCATCATATTTTTCCATATATGTAAGTGTTGAAAAATGAAGAACACACACAGTCCACTTGATGGTAAGTGAATGCGGTAGTCAATAGACTGCGACGTCTCTCATCAATTAACAATCAAAGCGCAGATGCTCTGTCTCCTATAAATACTAAGATGGAATGCCTCATTACCAGTAAAAAGCTTTCTCGTAACTCACCATACGAAACAGCAAAATTAAGCTGCTATTTTACGCTGGTATTCTGTGCGAAGACGGTCCTGCACTTTTCGTACTGATCCAGTCATGTCCACATAATACAATGATTCAAATCAAATCAAATCATTTATTTGCAATCTAAGTGTACATAATTGGTATTAAATTAAAAATGTGCTTACAACTTAGACGCCCTTTTCAGGCACTGCAAATTTGACAAGGGCACTGCTTATATACTATTAACAAACATAAAATAAAATAAAATTAAAAGCTATAAAAAGATATAAAAATATGTAATAGTGTTATTTTTTATCTAAATACTCTTCTACTGAGTAGAAGGGGTTTTGTTTTAAATATTTACCGAGTCTTGATTTAAATTTGGTTAATTCTGATATATTTTTTATTTCCTGTGGTAATTTATTTATATACTTTTATTGACATATAGTAGGGGCTTGTATTTAACATTTTTGTTCGCGACTGTGGTAGGTATAATTTATTTTTGTTACGTGTATTTAAGTTATGCGTATCTTTAATTTTCTTAAAACTATTATTATTTGTGTGGACAAACAGGTATAGATCATAAATGTACATACAGGGTAAGGTAAGAATATTTAGTTGTTTGAAATACGGTCTACAGCTAGTAGTGTTATCTATCTGGGCTGGTATTCTAACGCACTTTTTCTGGGTAATAAAAAGCTGCTGCATATCGACGCTACTTCCCCACAACATAACTCCGTACTTAAGCCACGAATGAGCATAGGCATAGTAAGCTGACAATGGCGTGGCTGTGTCAGACATTCCAACCATAATACACTGCAGCGTAGTTCTACCACACAATATGTATGTGTATTTATTCGTAACAACATTTTTTTTTTGAAGAATGAGCACGTTTACCTACCTACATCTAAAATGTAACACATGTATATTTTGATTTTTTATCTAGGATAGATGTAGGTATTTAACTCCTGGTCCCTATAAACATTGCTGCTCGATGCTGCTGTTTCATGTGGTGAGTGTAGAGAACCGAGAGAGTTACTAGTGATGAAGAAATCTATATTGTACGCTACTATTTTATGAGAGTGGGACCTTTCCCCAGTAGATCCAACCAATTCGTGCTGAAGCTATGTAGCTGCAGTGTGGCTCTACCACGTAAAAACTCAGAGAATTAAATTTTTTGTATAATTCTTATTTCTTGGCTCTCTAGTTGGTTTAGTGATAATAAATCTAGTTGGTTTAGTGATAATAAATCTAGTTGGTTTAGTGATAATAAATCTAGTTGGTTTAGTGGTAATAAATCTAGTTGGTTTAGTGGTAATAAATCTAGTTGGTTTAGTGGTAATAAATCTAGTTGGTTTAGTGGTAATAAATCTAGTTGGTTTAGTGGTAATAAATCTAGTTGGTTTAGTGATAATAAATCTAGTTGGTTTAGTGGTAATAAATCTAGTTGGTTTAGTGGTAATAAATCTAGGTCGTTGGTTTAGTGATAATAAATCTAGTTGGTTTAGTGGTAATAAATCTAGTTGGTTTAGTGGTAATAAATCTAGTTGGTTTAGTGATAATAAATCTAGTTGGTTTAGTGGTAATAAATCTAGTTGGTTTAGTGGTAATAAATGTTGGTGTGATAATAAATTAGTTGGTTTAGTGGTATATCTAGTTGGTTGTGTAATAAATCTAGTTGGTTTAGTGATAATAAATCTAGTTGGTTTAGTGATAAAAAAAACTCAATAATGGCAGCTACTGCTGCCATTATTGAGTTTTTTTGTCGAGAAATTCTCAGTAGAATACTGAGTCAGGCAGTTTGCGGTGTTTCGCCCCCTTGCCTCGGAAATCACTTCATGTCGAATAGCCATCCCATTGGACTATGAGAGTGAGGGTATAGAGAGTTCATCTCACTTACACACACACTCCTACTCTATAATCCTGTCCTGCACGGATCTCTCTTGGATCTGGCCGCCGTGACTGATATTTGGTCTGGAGGACATTATTTAACATTATCATGTTTAATAGTTCATCGTCAAGCGATGATGAAGACGATGGCTCATCAAGCGAGAACCAGGACGCGCAATCCGAACGCAGCCAGGAATCAGGGCGCCTTCAGAACCTGTCATCGACTCTCAATCGTGCAACGTTGACTCCGAACCACAGCAAGAGCCTCAGTACTCCTCACACCGGGCAGAACATTCAAGTACATCCAGTAATGAAATCTAATTCGAACCCAGCAGTCGATAAGCAGGCTATGGGAATCACATCAGGTCAGTGTTTTATCATAATGCAATTTAATTCTTAAACTCAATTATAACTTCTTGTTAAAGTTAATACCGTTTATATTTTTACCTTACCTTACTTATTTACATGATTATTTATTTCACAACTACTTATGAATATTTTTCTAACCTTCTTCTCTTTATCCTTTCTCTTTTCTCACCCCTAAGTACCTGGACGTATTATGGCTGGTATGATAATTTTTAATAAACATTATTTAGACTTAGTCTTATTTTTTATTTTGATCTGTTCTTTATTTTATTAGCTGGTAGTATTTGCCCTCTGATATGGAGCTTTGTATATAGTTTATGTAGAAAGTGATAAAAGCTTCTTTAGTTATTTACTTCTTTTCAGTAATTTTGACACAAATTAACATGGTAGAACCACGTTGCAGCTATATTATGGTAGTGACTCGACCGGGAAGGACCACACTCGTACAGAATAATAGAGTAAAATAGCAGCTTAATACTGCTGTATTTCGTATATGTGAGTGGAGAGTCATCTCAGTCCTCAGGGGTGACAACCCTTCTGCATTTGAATCGAGGATAAATGTAGATGTCAATGGTTTCTTATCCTAAGTCTTATTTTATAAAAATATTTTTGGGATTTTTTTGGAAAAATGCAAGTGATGAGTAAGTACGGTACAATACAATAAGATCATTTTCGAAAAAAATGTTATTTTAGATTTTAGGAGTAGTACATAGGTATAGCTACGTTATGCGGTTTATTCATATTCTAAAAACATTATTAACTTTTAATGCAAAATTTGATATTAAAAGTTGTGCAAAAAAAAATACAATTCAATTAGCTACATTGGAAACTTAATCCAATTAAAGTATTGTGTAAATAATTTGTCCAGTAAAGTTATTATTTATACCCGTGACAAAAATGGTTATATAAATGATATTTTAAATAAAATATAATATTAGAAGCCATATAAATAGCAAATTATTAAATATTCTACTTGTACTATTTTATTTTTATTAATATAACCGAACAATTGATTGGTTAAAAATAGAAAAGTCGCAGTAAATAATATATTAAGTATGTCCCTCATCACAGGACACCTTATTTCCTAGAGTGTTATAGAGTAATGAGTTCTTTGTACTTCAAACAAAGAATGCAACAAATGTGTTACTCTATACCAGGGGTGGCGAACCTTTATGTATAAACGTGCCATTTTTTAAAGAAATGTTTAAAATGTCATAGACGTGCCGGAAAATAATTTTGACTTAGTGATGATTTGAAAATAATAATACTAAATACTATCAACTCAAAATTGTTACAACAAAAATTTTATAAAGTCTTGAGTTGAGATATTTATTATCATATATTGCAAAATACATTTTTCAATGTATAATTATAAATATTTCAGTTATAGGCGTAATTCAAATTTAAGTAATATTACTGTGACTTCTGGTGTTGCAGATTAGATGACAAATTACTTATAAATACAGTTGTATCAACGAAATTGACTATTATGCTATGCGTAAACGAACTATGCATTCCTTGGGGGAGGCGTGGACTTGTGAAGGGCTGTAATCATGATGATGATAAAACGAACTATGCGTCATTAGCAATAATAATCCACGATGTAATTAGGATCACTCGCATTCTTTCGTAATATAGTGTACTTTGTGATCGGTGGCGTGCCCAAAATATTGTGTCGGGTGCCATTGGTTCGCCATCCCTGTTCTATACCGTTCAGATCGGAATATAGCAGTACAAGCACTGATATTTGGCGACAGAAATGAGTTACACACAGAAATCGTAATAATAAGACAATAGAAATCGCATAGACGCGTGACTTTTTCGCCGCTATTATGTGTTGACGAACATCATTCACCGTCGTCGTACCACCACCACCACCACCGGAACGTCGTACGTGAATTTATGTTATTATAAATTTATAATGGTGAACTGCAGCATAATCAATTGTAAAAACTCATCATGAACGTGTAATTCAACTAATAAATGCATAACATTTCATCGGTAAGTTGATTATTTACTAATTATCTTTGTTTTGACTAATTTACAACTAGATGAATACTTTACTATGATATTTACCTTTGTAAACTTTCATTTATTACTTTTCGTATTGTACAATTACCATTGCTATTTTTGTTCTATCGTAATACGCGACGCACGCGACGTTGACAAACTCGCCAAGCAATGTAATATGAAACATTAGATATCATTATGCATTGCGTATGCTCATAATATAGTAGGATGTGGCGACATCGGTTTTGGAAGTAATGGAGCGCTAATTCATTTCTATTGTCTTATTATTACTATTTCTGTGAAGTTACAGGGTGTCCTACCTACACAGGCGGACTGCTAGGCAGAAAAGAATTGCACATTAACAATTTTATAGTTGCCCGGGTTTCTCGCGTAATGTAAAAATTACGTCAAGCTCATAGTCCCAGCCTTAACTGGAACACAACCCAATTGTAACTACCGTATTGGTATCAGAAATATACTTGTAACAGATCTAACGTTCTAGTAATACCAGTTACCCAACATCACCGAGTCAGTAAATCATTCTTGGGGCGATGTATACGCTTTTACAACAAAACCCCAGAAAATATACAAAATTTGTCATACGCAAAGTTCAAAAATTTTATTAAACTAAGTTTGTACAAAAAGGGTTATTATAATATTAAGGAATTTACGGATAATAATAACCCCCAGCAAGGGTCATCGGTACCAAGCTATTACTAATTTGTTGTGTTTGTTGTTAATTGTGACATACATGATTGTAAGCTGTTTTTCTTAAAGTCCCTCTGGGTTTCTTGCTGGTTCTTCCCAGGCCAGAGGTTTTTTCCGAACTATTGGTAAATTAAAAAAAGAGATTTTCAATAAGTATTATTTATAATCTATATTGAACAAAAAAGTTTCTGTTTCTGTTTCAAGGAGCTTTATTTTACTCGTATCTCTATTAGTCTATTCTGAACGAAGATTGTAAAACTGTTTTGTCAAAAATTATATTATAAGTAATTTATTTATTTAAGTCGATGGATGTAGGTGGCTTAGGAACGTACTTCATGGCAATCTGGGGGAGGCTTATGTTCAGCAGTGGACTTGTGATGGGCTGTAGTAGTAGTAGTAGTGGTAATTGGTAGTAGTTAAGTTTTTACCCCCTTATTAATAAACATTTTAAAACACTTGATTAGTTGAATAGTGTTTTGTCACTTTCTAGCAACAAGTGTCTCGTAAATGTCAGAATGAGACAAAACACTATTTAACTAATCAAACGTTTAAAAATGGAATTTTATTAATAAGGGGGTTAGGCTATAATGATTTTATCACCTTTTAATATTAGATTTGTTCAATGTGTAGTATTCGCGTAAATATAAGAAATCATTAGAGAATACATTTGTTTATATTTCATATATATTACATATCATATAACATATTAAAATCACACAAACCAAATTATAAACTATGTATATATATACTACAAATTACAAAATATAAACTGAATGGTTTTTACCGTCTGTAAAAATAGGATGTAACAGATGAACCTATGGCACTGATATTTAAATTTTTTTTATTTTACATTAACATATTGTGAAATTGATCTATCAATAAATACTACTAATTGAGTACGTATTGTTTTAGTTTTGTTAGTTTTTACTTTATTTATTTAGTTCAAAATTTTTGTGGTACCGAAGGTTTATTTTAAATTAGTAGTTTTTATTGATAGATTAATTTCATAAAATGTTAATACAAAATAAAAATAAATTGTAAAATATTAGAGCCATAGGCTTGGAAACCGTTCACCAATCATACCCTATTTTTTGTCCAGACGGTAAAAAGATCATCCAGTATATACAATTATAATTAGGTGGTCTTATCGCTAAACAGCGATCTCTTCCGAGAAAACTTGGTGGTATTCGATTATTACTAAAAATAAATGGCGATTCATAAAAGTGTATTTGAGACAAAATCATTTTCGCATTTTATATTAAAAATTGTATTTAACTCTAGGTACCCTATCTTCGCCTAACAGCCGCCAATCTTCAGAAGACAGTGGTACTACAGCTAATCAGCCTACGATGTGGCTCGGAACTGAGGATGGCTGTATACACGTTTATAATTGCCTGGATAATATCAGGATCAAGAAGAATAAGATCAAACTGCAACACAATTCGGGTGTCCATTCTATTGTGTAAGTCAAACCTTTTTTACTGTGTAGTGGCGGTGTAAGAATATTCACTATACCATACGACGTTTCATCTATCTCTTACGGCTAAGAAACGACAAAGGAATACAAATAAGGAGATGGGCAACAGCGTCTTTCTAAAAACGACTGAAAATAAAAACTGTTTGCCAACCCGCTTACCTAACGTAGCAACCATCCCCCCCCACCATAGATTGCCAAATATAAGGCGTTCTATGGGGGGGGGGGGATTATGTTCAGTAGTGAACTTTAATAGGTTGTAACGGTAACCTTTTTCGGGAATAAGTTCAAAAATGTGTTCAAAATGCCTAACTTTGAAATTTTCCTTGTATTCATTTGTCAATTTGTCCCATTGGTTCTATACATATATAGTCGTTTCTCACGACACCGATATGTCTAGAAAAAAAACCAATCTCGTATATTATTTCTATTGCTGTTGCGTTTGCGTGGGTCTCGAATGGTTTAGATTCACAATAGAAACCGGCAGGTGGCGCTGTTGTCGAGATCCAGAAATCACTCGTGCGAAGCCAGGGCGGATCGCTAGTGCTTAATATAAAATACTTTACCTGGTAAAGGAGAGCAGAGTTAAAAGTGTTCTGATACAACAATAGTGCACTCGCCTACCAAGTGTGACGATAGATACTATGCAGATTTTCTTAACCCTTCAATCACCATAAAATTTCCATGCAGTCGCATCGCCTGGCAAATCCCGAGCGCTCGCATGCAACCGCACCCACCCACAGCTCTTTAAACCATTAAAACTTATATTTAGAGACTACTTTTCTTTGAAAAAGTTTAGCATTATATAATCTATACAAAATTTTCTATCCTGTGGTCTAAACAAAGGTCAGGTTTTACTTCATTACAAAAATATTTTATTGTATTTGATTTAAAAAAAAACATACCAAGTGGATGTTGGCAGCGTGAAAATCACAATTATTTCAATATATATTACTCAAAATTATTTATGTAAAAAGATAAATTATATTCACACAAAAACTTTCATTACAATTTTATAATAAAACACTATACTAAAACACTAGAAAAATCCAAAAATCAACACAATAACATTCACACGAAAATGGCGTACGAAATGAATGTAGATTATAGATAAATATCCATAGAATAAATAACTTTTTATTCCACAATAGGATAGAAAATTTTATATTGATTTTATAATGCCACACTTCTTCACAGAAAAGTAGTCTCTATATATAAGTATTTATGGGTTAAAGTGCTGTGGGTGGGTGCGGTCACATTTGACCTCTTGAATTTTGACGGAATATCGAAGCGGTCAAATTTGAACGCCTGTCGTTTGAGAGGTTAAAATTGTAAACTTAATTTATATTTGAAGGTTAATCATATAAAAAAGTATAATCTCAGGTTGTTAAGGATAATGTGACCAGATTAATTCGATGTCAACTATAAACATGAATAATTTGATTAGGTTCCCCTTTAAAAATACTATTAATAAACTATTAAGGTAATAAAAATGTAAATAAAGTTAAAAAGATGTTTAAATATCTAAGACTTAGATAAGACTATAAATATACACTTTTAGAAGGTCATTGTTACAGGTATATGGAAGGCAAGGTGTTTGTTGCTCTTGGAAACGGCGATCTGGTGGTTTACTGTCGAGATATTGGTAAGTTTATATTAAAATTGTTTTAAACTAACTTCTGCCAGCGACTCCGTTCACGTAGATACAGAAATCCCTTAAAGATTATTTTTCCACACTAACTTCTAATTTCTGATGCTAAAAAGATTAAAGTATTTAAATAAGTATTTAGCAGCGTAATATTTCCATTTTGAAGTCACTAATAGTTCTTTTTGCATAATTTAAATAACGCCTGTGTCTTACTATGTCTAGAATCTAAAATCTGCAGGATTAATTAGAGTACGCTAAAAGAAAGCTACAAAAATATAATAACAATTTAATACTTTTCTAATACATAAATTCAACGATTCGAAAGTCAAAAATGTTTGTACCTTGTAGATCCATCCATCCATAAAGTTGTGAAAATATAATTGTCTTATAACAAGTGCTAACGTTTCCATGAGATTAGTTTAAGAATGTATGTTTAGCAAATCGAAAGAAACAGCTGCTACAGCGTTCGTTATAAAATGAATCTTGATCAATGTCTTTTAATTTTCGAGCTCTAGATTCTAATATTTTACGACTTACTGCAGAGATCTGCAATTTCCAGGTCATAGTTTTATCCATGTACAAGCAAGATTTTTTATGGAATCGAAGATCGGTTATAATTTACATGGGAGATATTTCCATAATCAACCTTAGCTAATAATTGCTAACTTGCGAAGATTATAATTTTGCATTTGGCTGGATTAACTGAAACGCCATATTTACACGACCATTCTCTTATTATTTAGTTTATGTATTACAAAGTTAAGATTACTTAAGCATACATAGAGCTGAAGTTCATCCTCATACAGATGGTACGAACAATCTGAAACTGAGGAGATAGAATTTATAAATAAGGAAAATATAATAGGAGAAAGCATTCCGCCTTGCGGCACACCAGATTCAATTTCAGCCTTTGCAGATAAACGCTGAACTGATTACTGGCGGCAGCAATTATAAGAAGAGATATATAGGTAATATTGTTAAAAATCTGCCATGAATGCTCCCAGACATTTTACATCGGCAGTATCGCTTTGCAGACGCTTTAAAGCTCTCAAAAAATTACTTAATTTCACTTACTTTCTGCAGCTCTCTTTTATATATGTTAGTCAGATAATTATTTTAAAAAGTTTTACAAGAAGGCAGGCTGATCCAAGAGGTCGATTATCCCCTAAACCAGGGATGGCGAGCTAAACGCACGCATGCCATCGATGGCACGCGTCACAATATTTTGTGCACGCCACCGATCACAAAGTTCACTATGAATATTACGAATGGACGAGAGTGATTCTAGTTACATCGTGGACTACCTTTGCTAATGACGCATAGTTCGTTTCATCATCATCATCATCATTACAGCCCTTCACAAGTGCACGCCTCCCCCAAAGAACGCAGTTCTTTACGCATAGTATAATTGTCAATTCGCACAACTGTATTAAAAATTCATTTTGTATTATATTTAGGATTTTACTATGCCAAGTTATTTGTCATCTAACCTCCAACAACAGTAGTCACACTAATGTTATTTGAATTTGAATCACGCGTATAACTGAAACATATTATTATATATTGCAAAATGTATTTTGTAATATATAAATAATAAAAATCTCAACTCAAAACTCTTAATTTATTTTTTGTTCATGATTAAAACTACTTTTACGGATTTTATCGCGTTTATTTTTACTTTTTATTTTTAATTCCCGACGTTTCGGGCGTTTTCCAGCACCCATGGTCACGGGGGACTGAGATGACTGACGTCCCGATGTCATTGTTAAACCCGGAGTACCTTCAGCTTTTTAATTATTGTTTATGGTCCGATCTATGCAAAATGAACTGACTATGTCCTGAGGTCTTGCAGTGGTATGCTTGGGTTTAGTTTTAATTTTATTGATTATAGGATCCCAAGCAGGTGGTAGTACCCAGCCTCCTTCTCTATTGAAATTAGGATGTTTTTTAATTTCAATAGCCTCACGTATCATCCTTGGTAGGAATCGGTGTTCTTTCGCGAGCATTTGTGGTCTATCAAATCTGATGTAATGGTTGGGTCCGTCTCGGATATGATCACAAACTGCAGACTTCCCGGAACGTTGATGCTTCACATCAGCTATATGTTCTTTTACGCGGGTCCTAATTGATCTTTTGGTTTGTCCTATATAAGAGAGACCACATTCACAATCAAGCTTGTACACTCCTGCATCTTGTAGAGGAATATGACACTTGACGGATGGTAGGAACTGACTAATCTTCTTCGGCGGCTTGTAGAATGTTCTAATAGAAGCTCGCTTCAAGATATAGCCAATCTTGTCTGTGACACCTCTGACATATGGTAGTACAGCAGGCACACGCTCGACTGTGGCCGGCTTCACTCGGTCACTGTGACGTAGGCGCGGGACCCGAAGCTTGTTGTCGTGCAGAACTTGCTTGACGTGCTGAAGCTCGGCGGCCAGGTGTTTGCTGTCACAGATCCCTCGTGCTCTCTGTAACAAAGATTTGCAGTTAACTGTGAAGGATGGTGGTGAGATTCACCGTTTAAATATCGGTTTGTATGGGTCTTTTTCCTATACACAGTGTGACCAATGGTGTTATTAGGATTTCGGATGACTAACACATCTAGGAAAGGTAAGGAATTATTTGCCTCTAACTCCATAGTAAATTGAATTTTAGCGTTTATGGAATTAAGATGTTCTAAAAATGTAGTTACTTTGTCTGATGGTAAAATTGTGAAAGTATCGTCTACGTACCGCTTGTAGATCCTTGGTGTAACAGGTGCAGTAAGGAGGGCTTTCTCCTCAAAGTCTTCCATGAATATATCGGCGACAATGGGAGATACAGGTGAGCCCATCGCCACACCATCTACTTGCTTGTAAAACTCTTCCTTCCACAATAGATAGCCAGATGTAAGGCAATGTCTTAGTAATACTGCATATTCTGCTGGCATGTTATTTTCCTCTAGTTTCCTAGTTATAATTGAGATGCAGTCTTGAACAGGTAGGCATGTAAATAGAGACTGAACATCAAAACTGACCATGGTTTCATTGTCAGTAAGATGTAGGTCTTTTATCTCACTGACAAAATGGTATGCTATATATATATGCAAAATGTATGGCTATATCTTGAAGCGAGCTTCTATTAGAACATTCTACAAGCCGCCGAAGAAGATTAGTCAGTTCCTACCATCCGTCAAGTGTCATATTCCTCTACAAGATGCAGGAGTGTACAAGCTTGATTGTGAATGTGGTCTCTCTTATATAGGACAAACCAAAAGATCAATTAGGACCCGCGTAAAAGAACATATAGCTGATGTGAAGCATCAACGTTCCGGGAAGTCTGCAGTTTGTGATCATATCCTAGACGGACCCAACCATTACATCAGATTTGATAGACCACAAATGCTCGCGAAAGAACACCGATTCCTACCAAGGATGATACGTGAGGCTATTGAAATTAAAAAACACCCTAATTTCAATAGAGAAGGAGGCTGGGTACTACCACCTGCTTGGGATCCTATAATCAATAAAATTAAAACTAAACGCAAGCATACCACTGCAAGACCTCAGGACATAGTCAGTTCATTTTGCATAGATCGGACCATAAACAATAATTAAAAAAGCTGAAGGTACTCCGGGTTTAACAATGACATCGGGACGTCAGTCATCTCGGTCCCCCGTGACCATGGGTGCTGGAAAGCGCCCGAAACGTCGGGAATTAAAAATAAAAAGTAAAAATAAACGCGATAAAATCCGTAAAAGTAGTTTTAATCATGTGCAATGTTCGCGTAAATATAAATCATTATTTTTTGTTAATAAAGAGTTTTGAGTCGATAATATTCAGTGCTATTATTTTCCCCATAATCACGAAGTCATAATTATTTTACGGCACGCCTATTACCTTATTAAAATTTTCTTTAGAAAAATGGCACATTGATTCATAAAGGTTCGCCACACCTGCCCTAGATCCAATGCCTCTGTGGGTATGAGCGCGAGGGCATTATCTGGGCGCATGAGCGTGAATGAGACATACCCACAGAGGCAATGATTATCTAACGTTTACGTAAAAATCAGCTCGGAGGATTAAAGTGAAGTGAGTAATGTACGTATATTGATTTCCTGATATCTGGGAAAATGGCCTGCCTGCCTGATCAATTAAACCCTTTTAATTAATAGCTAAAATATCAACTATCACGAATAAACCAATAAAATATAGTTCTTGGGTCATTAATCAGAAACCCTATTTCTAGGTGTCTCAAAAAATTGATATTTTCCAATAAGGTAGATCATAAGATGTAAAGAAAAAACTTAAAATTACATATAACCACTATTGGTTTAAAAAAAGTGGCGATACATAAAATCTGATAACTGTCAAGTTTAGTATTAGCTGCACCAAAATTTTTGTCAACATTTAATTTGTATAGTTTAAGTAGAATAGAAAAATATTGACTCAAGAAAAAACGCTGAAGGTGATATCCTACCAAAACATAAATGTTAAAAGGGGGAAAAGTTACACCGCTGTTGCGGGAACGTTGTACATTCCCATGGTTATGATTTAAGTTACTGCTTGGTGCCAGTTCAGATCTAACTGACAATCCCCAACGAATGAACGCTCCCTTTTTCACATTCACATTACGCAGGTATTCTGTGAGAAAGTGGTCCTACCCCGACCCATTCGTGCTACAACCATAATATAGCTGCAGCGTGGTATTACGTACTTTTATTTTATTTACAGACGGCTCTTGGACGGAGCGGTCGACGATCCCGGTTGGCACGGGCAGCGGGCCCGTGAGCAGCATGCTGCTATCCGGCGGCAAGCTCTGGTGCGCCACGCACTCCAACATCAAAATTATCAACCCGCATTCCTTGCAGGTTAGCGGGGAACAATATTTCTAAAGTTGCTATTTCACTTTTAAAGAAAATTAGTTTTTACGCGTAATTTATAGTACCCAAGGTCACGGGGGGATGGGGGGGGGGCTGAGGTGTTCGACGTCCCAATATCATAGTTAATCAAGGCCTCCAGATAAAAATTATTATTTTAATTATTTTAATGTGAAGGTACCCGTACCCTTGAGATCTCTCCGGTCGTGTCAGGTCAGGTCAGGTCTTCCCATTGGGCTATGGGAGGGAGGGATAAGAGTGTGAACATGTACTTACGCACTCACACGTATATACTACACTATAATCCTGTCCTGCGCAAATGGCTAGTTTCCGTTTAGACTGCTGTGACAAATCTTTCAAATACATTATTTCATACTTCACAGGTTGACGAAACATTCCAAATAAGTTCAGAAACGAAGCCGATAAGCCACATGGCGGTAGCTGGTGGTTCGATATGGCTGTCGCTGCACAACGCGGCGCAGCTACGTTGTTATAACGCGACAACTCGGGAGCAGTTAGCCGAGATCAACATTACTCCACAAGTCACCAAGATGTTACATGGTACGAGCATTACTTCTTAATCCATCTGAACCTCAGATCAATCAAGAAAGATAGACTGAGCTCTGCGTGTATTTCATTGTAAAAAAAGATCCTCACGTACATATGTTATGCGTCTAAAATCCATTTGCAACCAACACAATAGTTTTAGGTGCATATGTGTGCATCCATTGTTTCTTTTTACGGGCTGTTAAAAAAATAAAGAAGTAAAATGTGTGCGTGAGTGCGTGTGGAGTTGATCATGGTTTCGGTATCCGAATTCCGGCGCTTCCAACTTCTTTATTGCAATTATGAAAGTATTAGTACAACGTGTTTAGCGAAAAAGTCAAAATTAAAATTCGAAAAAAAGGTCAATTATGGAATGAAAGGTTCTCTAGTGGCAGCTTCGTACTGGTACACAGTTCCTACTTGATAATACCAGATGAAACACACAGGATGTCGATGGATGCTCATAACTGTGCTTAGTGATTAATGTTGAGGCCTATGTATGGCAGTCAGCTTGTACTGCTAGATGAGTTGTAAAAAAGATGTAGCTCATTGATAATTTGATCATTTTGAACATACACGGTACTAAAATAAACAAAGACATTTAACTATGTAGTAGTAATAGACTGGACATCAGCAACAAAATTGTCGTCTGTAACTTTTGTCCTATTGGATATATCTCCGATTTTTGTCATTTAGTTTAAATTACATCACAGAGAGGTCAAGACGCATCCGTTTCATAAATTTAAAAAATATTTTTAAAGAAAATATGCCCGGTTGTGCATTAAGGTATAGTAAGTCACGATATGGAGCAAAAAATGAACATGATTTCGGTTTATTATCTTAAAAATAATGTATTTTTACCAAATAATCTATAAATTTTGTTAATTCTGGTAGATTGTTCTAGAAGAAAGAAAAAATATTGTAATAAATGCCCTCTGTTATCCAGTAACGTCACTATTTATTTACAAATATGTTAGTAATTGACGACATGCATAAAACCGATTTTTACCTTATATTTAGAAGCGTCACCTAATGGGAAATAGCTAAAATGTTTTCCAAATAAATATTTAGCGTAGTATTGCTATTTTTCGCTAGAGGGCTTAACACACGCACGTGCTCACAGTTTTTGTATGTAAATGTTCCCAATTTCCGCTCTATAGTAAATATATATTTAAATTTCTTTGAAAATAAATGAGATGTTCCAAAATGTATGGAGCCTGTGCCAGGTCATTATAGACTATACTTAAAACTAAGGAAACACATTTTAAACGGTTATCAACTGTTCTATTATTTTATAATGGCTTTGTTTGCTGGCAAAGGACAGTAAATTACACTTGAAATTGCAACACACAACGAAAATCTGTCATGGCGGTAAGCTGTCATTTTTATTGATTAGTGACGTTTGACATTTTTATTTCACGTATTTTTGACACTATTATGACAACTGACCGTACTCTTTCTATAATGAATGGTCGTTTTATAGTTTACTGTCATTGTCTATAAGCACAGAGTAACGTAAATCCGTAGACAGAGAAACCTATAGACTAATGATTAGCGTGGCCTCGAATGAGAGAGGACGATAACGTAGTTTTTAGGTTATACAATAATCTTTATGACTTTTAAACATATTTATATATTTTTTTATTGTTTTAAGAACTGAACTGAACAAGATTCACCAATCTTAAGCTCACAAAACACTTTTTTCTCACTTAAACCATCTTGTAAACTCCTTAGATCGCTACGAACTGTCAAAGTTGTTTAGCAAAGTATAGTTTGCTAAACAAAAAAACCGGCACGGAGAAAGGGACAAACAATCACACTGCTCTGTCTCATTTCTATGCAAGACGTGTGCAAAAATCTATCTTTTTCGTGTACGAATGCGAAATAAGGCGTTGTCTATAGGTTTCTCTGTCTACGACTAAATCGGTAAGACGCCATGTTGAAAGTCGATATAAATAATTGATAAACATCAATTGCTTACCACGACGATTTAAATAAATTGTCTGTATTTTTCTCGCATTCTACAGATTTCTCTCTTTTTTTTTTGAGATAGTGTACATAGACGTTGCCCTTTTTGAAACATCTGCTTTATAACTACTTTCAATACTTTTGATCAAATGTTTGCAGGTTGCGACGAAATAATTCGCCAACACAAAGCGGCGTGTCTACGAGTGACTGCGTTATTGGCTCATCGTGACACGCTGTGGGTGGGAACAAGTGCGGGGGTTCTGCTCACCGCTCCACTACACAACTCGCCTAACTCCCGAACTGGATCGTTTACTGTGCCACAACTTACTGGTACGTAGCACACACCACATCTAAGATATAACGACACACATTATGATGATAGGTTTTACCTAAAAGTTGCAAAGTTATTTTATCTATGTATTTAAAAAGTTAAAGTTAGCCTATATACCTACATCCCACTGCTGAGCACAGGTTTCACCTCATTTCTGAGAGGGTTTTAAGCCAAGGGAATGTACGCCGCGCTGCCCCAACAAGTGTTCACATACTTAGAAATATTTTTTGTTACGATGTTTTCTTTCACCGCCGAGCTCGTGGTAAATCATTCATTGATGATATCATGAATCATTTCATCGGTGCCGGCGGGAATTGAACCCTGTTTACTCGCGTTATGCAAAATTTACATTGAACGCTAACCATTTGAGCCACCACGGCTCTTATACTTGTGTCATCTATGTACAACATAATATTACATTTTCAATTTCTTTCTCAAGCATTACTAAATTCTATTAGGGAAAATAGACTGGTGTATGTGTACCCTTTGTGATTGCAAATCTGCCTATTAAAGTTTACCCTTTGTGATTGCAAATCTGCCTATTAAAGTTTATCACGCTTAGCGAGATTATCCCCATAAATTGGGTGAGAGCTTTAAACGGTCAATGATATGAATTCTAAGTGATATTTTATTATGAATCATTACATAAAAAAAATTGTTTTTTGTAAAACTGAAGTAAGTAACGAATGAACTTACGGTGCATTTGATGGTGACTATAATAGCCACTGAATAAAAACATATTATTTTTTATTTCGTGAAATCGGTTTTAATCTACAAATTTCGTATTTCTATAAACTTTTCAGTTTTATAATAGTATTATATTTTTCTAGGTATCACATATGGTCACACTGGCCACGTACGATTCTTGACTATAGTTGAAAATCCAGTACCACAGAGGCAGCCAGCAAAGCCTACTCAAACACTAAAGACAAAAGCTTTGAGTCGGCGTTCGACTAATTCAGAAAAATTACAGAAACAGACAGAAAATATACAAAATAATAAAGAAACTTTGATTATATCTGGTGGAGACGGTTACGAAGACTTTAGAAGTTCAACGATGACTGAAGATGCAGGAAGAGAGGACTCGACGAATCACTTACTTCTCTGGAGAGTCTGAACGAATTTGATGGCCTACAGGGTTTCTTGCTTGCCGAAACGCATTAGACGTTCCGTTTTCAGATTTATATATTGATGTTAGGTGTTTTTGTGACGCTTGAGTCGAAAAGTTCATGAAGAGCCTAATCGTTCATTGTAATTGTTTTTCGTTGATTATTTCAGCTTTTTAAAACAGCAGTGTATGATGGGATGTTTGTATTTTGCGCCTAACAGCGTATTGAGATTATTAAGTTTAAGACATTAAATGTCGTATAATGCCATAAACGTTGTTTTATCCAAATTACGAAATATCTTACATTTTGCAGTATTATTTGAACTTTCACACTTATGGACCATCATGGTCTGCTATGTACCTTATAGAGATGTTTTATATAAATGAAGTGTTTTACAAAATTATACGTGTAACTATCCATATCAAGGAAGTGTTGAATGTCCAATATATATTATAATTACTGTTTAAATAGTTGTACCATGGATGTTAAAGTTGAAGAATATAGGGATACTTATCTGATAAAAAGGTCATTACAACTGTTTATTTATTTTAAACTATTAACATAATCTAAAAGTACACATGTTTACTATTTAAAATATAGTGTATATCATCACCCTTAAGTTGGTAACATAAAATAAACAATGGTGAAGCTGATCAAATAGGTAATACTACTTTTGTTTATATAAGCACATCATGGAGAACCTATTTTAAATAAGTACTTAAGGAATTTTACATAATTACATCCATTATAGTAGAAGCATATTATTTTACGCTTTTTATACCACTGTTATTTAATAAGTTAACCATTTTCGAGGCTTGTCTGATGAAAATGACTAATAGAAAATTCCTTGAGAATTTATGTGCACAAAGATTTTTGTGCAAACATTTATCAAGTGGGAGTTCTATACAACCATGGGGGAGTAATGTTTTTCTTATAGCGATACCATATTTTATATCTATGTCATTCGGATTAGTGTATTTATGTGTCGGATCAAGGATTCCTTAAATAATGACTAAAACCTGATTGCTCAAAAATATTATCTTCAAATATTACCTATCCGAATAGTACGTGACAAATTATAACAGGCTCGATAACAGTAGGTATCCTGTACTAATAATATTGCAAAATAATTAAATGACGTCGCACTAAATATCATTGTCTTTCATTTTGCATTTAAATCCTGTACTTCTATTTTTTATGATCTATTATGAAATCATTATATTTCGATCGTATCTAATGTCTCATAAAAAAGCACAAAGCTAGTGTTTTTTTTTGGCATATATATATATATATATATATATATATATATATATATATATATATATGCAAAAAATCACTAGCTTAATATTATAATATTAAAATTATAATATATATTATTATTATTAATGTTTTTATCTTATTTTTATCACATATATTATCACAAAACTATAATATTATAAATATAAATACAATCTATGTAAATAATATTATTATTTCGATTATTATCCACCGCGGCGAGGAATTCTAAGCCATCGATGAAGTTAGGCATCCAAAGATAGGAAGCTTCTTACTATTCGGGCCGTATTTAATAAGGCCGATTTTTGAATTAATGCCTTCAGCCATTTGCCCAAACCTAACTTGGACAGATAATCGTCCATATTTTTACCAATACGCCCATTGACTGAAACAACTATTGGTACAATAATAGTAGAATCAACGTCCCACATAGCGACAATCTCATGAGCCAGGTCGATATATTTTAATTTTTTTTATCATTCTCTGCTTTTACGAGATTCTCGTCATGGGGAACACTGATATCCACTATTGTTGCCTTGCGTGTAGTTCGGTCTATCACCACAATGTCAGGTTTATTTGCCACTATAAACTCTGTGTGTGTCTGTGATAATTGACCGATCCCAGTACAGTGTGACACTTCTATTTTCAAGGACTGGTTTTGGTTCATACTTATAATATGGAACGTCCTGTTGAGTAAAATCAAATTTTATTGCAAGCTGCTGGTGTATTATTCTAGCTACTTGGTTATGTCTATTATATATTATATTACTTAATATTGTTATTTTACAGTTGACTATATGTATAGGCAACTTAAGCATACTCAAACAAATAAATAAATAGTCACTAGTCACTACTGCAGATTTGTTCATGTATATATTATGTTTACCCTTATGGTTTATAAGACTGCCTCGTGGGTTGAGTATATTTAGTGGTGTGACTGCTCATGAGGATCATGAGGTCCTGGGTTCGAATCCCAGTTCGGGCCAAAAAATCAATAATTGAGTTTTTCCGTCAAGAAATTCTCAGCAGCTGCCCGGAGTCAGGAAGCTGGCAGTGTCTCATCACGCACGCAAAGCCGTTGGTCCTGCGCTGATATCTCTCTGGACGTGTCGGTTCACCGTCACATCGGATTATCAGAGTGAGGGAATAGAGTGTGTAACTGAGCTTACGCATAATCTTTGGAACTATAATTCTGTCTTGCAACGATGGCTAGTCTCGTTGAGGCGGGCCGCCGTGACCGAAATTCGGTCTGGAGGACATTATTATGGTTTATAAAAAAGTCGTGAATCAGTACAAGGACTTTTATTCATAAAACTACCAGGAAATTACAATAGATTCAATAACAGTTACATAGATTCTTAACTAAAAATCTAGATTTAGCTTAAGTCAATAAATTAGATCTTCTGTACGTACTTCTTACATATCCATTTCGTTATAAATTTTAAAATACAATTTTCCACGTAAATTATCATAATTCGTAAATATATTATGCGCACATTGTAGCCACTTGATTTATAAATTCTTCAAGATTTTCGCCGTTCATTATTGAAGTATTCATTTTCTTTCCCCTACTCACAAAATATGGATCGACTTGCAGCTGAGCAGTTAGTTTTTTCAAGATGGTTCTTCTTTCTCTTTCACTGTCAATTTCTCTTTTGAATTCATGACCTTTTTCTTTTAATGCTATTAAATCTATAGTAGAACAAATTAATTCTTCCGCCTTCTCCAATTCTTCTTTTGAGATTGTTGAATTGCCAATTTTAATATTTTCTGAATCTTTTTTACCTCGAGCAATATAGTAAGGATCATTTTTTACTGACTTCACTAGCTCTTCTATAGCTCCACGTCTACCTCTAGATGATTTTAAAATGTTTTTATTTATAAGTTTTTTTCCTCTAGAAATAAAATAAGGGTCGTCCTCCTCTGAAGAACGACTACTCCTTTCAACTAAAATGTAATGAGGTTGTTCGGCATAAATTCTGTCATTAAGCACTGTTTCTGATTCAGAGGGCTTGACATATAATCCAAAATTAGCTGTTTTGTCCATTGGATTTGGTGTGCGTCGTAACCGCCTTCCTTGGAATTCTTTAAATACATTTCGAAGTTTGCTGTATTGTTCTCTATTAGGCCAAAATCTCGTTAACGTATCTTTCGTCCGTTGCAATCTTAATAGTTTTTTCCTGTCTTCTTCAATTTCGTTCATTGTATTAATAAATCTATTTTTTAATATTGTTTTATATCTTCCTCTATTTCCCCAAATTGAATCGGCTTCTTCGCTTATTCCATTTAGATTATCATCTTTCTTTCTCCCGCGATTGCCCCAAAACGGTTCTGTTTCTTCGTACATTAAATTGTGTATCCAATTTGATTCAGCTTCTCGTTTTCTACCACGGTTTCCCCAAAAAGGTGCAATTTCATCCCGATTCTTTGAAAACGGTGTAGTTAATAGTCTTTCGCTTTTTGGTTTCGTTTCATCCCTTCCTCCTCTATTACCCAATAGTTGTATGTCCTGAGTTGTACTTCTTTTAGTTGCATCGTCTTGCCTTCGACCTCTATTTCCCCAAAAGGGATTATCAGGTACGGAATTATCTTCGATTTCATCAGAATTTCGTCTTCCGCGGTTACCCCAAAATGGAGATAGAGATTCATCTCTCCTACTACTAAATAAACTTTTGTAGCATTGTTTGTAGTTGTCACTTGTGTAATCATAGGTCTGCGAGTTACTATCATCCATGTCATTTAAATTTTCTTCAAAGCGGTCCCTTCTACCTCGAGTGCCCCAAAAAGGTAACTCTAGATCGGATTTTAATTTCTTTTCTTTTTCTTCTAAGTCATAATCAAGCAATTTAGTGTTTAATGGCATAAATATTTGTCCGTTTTCATCTCGTAAAGATCTTTTAAATCTTTTTTCATCATTATTCTTATCGTGCGTATATTGATATTTTTTCTGGTTAGCCTTTTCATTGTAAGGTAAGTAACCATTTTTGCCACATAAAATAGGAATCGTCAAAAGCAACAGAGATAATAATAAAAATAACCATTTAGTCATCATTTTGCTATCTGAAATCATACAAAATTATATATTCATTATTATTTATATTAATTTGGATGTATAATTATATTTATTTAAATTACATGATAATGAAAAATAAACAAAAATTAAAAACTAAAATAAAAAAACTAAAACGAATAACTAAAATTATCATACAGTCCTACACCTCCACGCTGAATGGATACATTTAGCCTTTGAGCGAGAATAGAACCAGCCCTCTTATCACCAGCAACGATGACCAGTCGCGGATAGAGTTCCTTAAAGAACTTCACCTCACTTGGACCCCACGGACCGATAGTCTCTACAGCAAATTGCACCAATATGCCATCTGTCAGAGACTTATATTTTCGCCACTTACTTAGTTTGGCTGCCTCTGATGCCACCCTGGCTTTAAACGATAAAATCTACTTTAAAATAAAAAAATAAATCCAATTAGTGAATATTAACTTTTTCTTTCTTTTATCTATTGTCTTGACTACAACCTTTTTAGGTTTTTGAGAATTTAGTTTAGTTAGAAATAAAAGTAATTCTTTACAAAAATCCAGTCCCAATGCTGGTATAGGCCTTCTGTCAGAGCAGGGTTTTGGGACATGGAGTAGTATGCATACTTTAAGTATTTTTTAAAATTTTCTAGACATGCAAGTTTCCTTACAATGATTTCCTCCACTGCAGAACATGTGG